ATCACTAGAACAGTTGTTACGCAATTTTCATACCTTAATACGGAGTATTATCTTCATAAATAATATTAAAATAAAAAGACACAAATTGTCATAGACTTGATACTAGGTAAAAAACAGTTGCCAGAGGTTCAATGTTACCGATTGTTAGTGTGAAAAAACGAAAACTTTAATGTGAGAGTGCATTGCTATGGCTTAGTGTCTTACGGACTTGATTATTAGTTAGTGACGTACAGTGAAAAATTAGGGAGGGAGGGCAAATTAGTAAAGAAATTGATAATTAGTCACATTTTCGGAAATTAAGTAAAAAGGTCTCTTTTTTGTCTATTGTCTATTTTCTTAGTAATATCTATGTCAAAACCCCGAGTTTAAACCAAGTATAGCTAGCCATATAGATCCCAAACTAACAAGATAAACTTAGCTAAACTCCCAATCACCCTTATAAAACTAGCAACACAAACTTCAATGAAAAAACTGAAAGCAAAACAAAACGCAAGAATAGAACAATGCAATTAAAAGATAACTTCCGATATGAATTGCGCCTAACAAACTGCAATATTCTAACATATCCCCGAATCCTCCATGCCAGCTTTCCTTTCGTGTGGTGGTCCTAGTAAAACTGGCCTCAGAACCACAAGAAGAAGTTAGACTTCATAGACCTGTCGAGACTAACACGGAGCTCTTGCCTGCATCTTTTTTTTTTTTTGGAACGGACGCTTCTAAGTTCTACCTCACCTTCAACCAAACAGCCCCCACCTCTTTTTCGAAATCCAGCTTCTTCTCCCCAGCCTATCGGACTTCAAATCTGTACCCCTAGATAACTGGAATCTCACGTATTTAAAATTTTGTTAATCTAAAACTGGTTAATGAAAATGCCCACCCCTAGATAGCACGCCAATAAATAAGGGAACAATATTTCTTTACTACTTAAAATATTATATTATTGAATTATTTTTATTTCTGGTTTATTACTTTATTAACAACAACAATTGCATTGGTTAAAAAAATTGCAGGACACTATGTTCCCCAATTAGCCAAGGTCATTGTTGAACGAAACAAGGATAACAAAACGTATGGGCACATAAATCTCAAGGGTTTCATAGTATGTGTTTCCATAACATTCTAAATTCATGCTGATCTGATCATTAAATTTAATATTCTTAGCACGTAACCGATTTGTATTAAGTTTCTTAATTAAAACATGCAGGTGGGGAACCCAGAAACAGACGATTATTATGATTATAAAGGCCAATTAGAATATGCATGGAGTCATACAGTAATATCAGATGAAGAGTATGATGTTGCTAAACGAGTATGCGACTTTAGGAGGGTTTACTGGTCCGATGACTGCAATAAGGCCATGTCTCTTGTATTCACAAAGTTTAAAGAAATTGATATCTATAACATCTATGCTCCTAAGTGTCTTCTCAATGATTCGTCCTCTGGAGCCGGTACCAATAATCCCACGTTGAAGAAGGTGAATCCCGCATAAAATTAATTAGATGTTACATATATGCACATGCCAAGGTTCTTGTTTGTTTGCTCTATATATTTATTAAATCATAAACAGGAGCGTAGCCAGGGCACTACTCTACACTAAGAATGGATAAAGATATTTTTTACACGATTTTTTTACACACTAATCTTAAGCAAGTTTTTTACAAAATGCTTCCCTCATTTGAAACAATCTAGTATAAAGGATCAAATAAAAACACCTCCTAATTTACAAACTATAAACTCATATTGGTCATCCGATGAGTTGATCTAAAAGGCTATAAACCGAACTTTTTTTTTGGGATAAATTCAAACTTTTTTCGAATGCAAATCATGCAACTCCTATTTTATGACAAAATAATATGTTACACTTACTTCGAACCTGGCCTCAATATGTAATACAAATAGTGAAAAGATGCAGCGTACAAACGTTTGCACAATGATCACAATTTGTACATTGATTAACCCCAATGTAATTCACAATCGGCTCTCTTATTGCACTTTTCGCGGTGAGTATAATATTTACCAAAATGTTACCGCGATTATTTAATATTAATTTGATTTGAACAAAGTTAAAATGTGCACCAGACGAGTTTTATTGTGTATTACATTTGATTAAATGTGTGTTATTACATTCTCATTGAAACCACACTCTACACACACACAAATATTCCTGTAAGGAATTTCCTGACCGGAATGCTGTCTGGCTAGGTCACCTCCATTTGAGATGCTTTCAAGTGGAATTCTTTGATGAAATTTTGTGAGCACATCTTCATGAAATTTAGATTATGTGAACAAAATTCCTATTTAAAATTTAATAATGAAATTAGTTAAATAAATTATTGAAAAACTGCATTTGCATATATACTTTGGCGCGGTGTTTTTCAATAATTTGGATAAATTGAGAATTTGATCTAAGGAGACAAATGATTGAGGATGAATTTGAGGCGTTAGATTTGCGAATTGTGCATCATCTGAAACACAAATATAATGTGCACTCCTCCAAATTAGAAAATGCGGTGACATTTTTCTTTTTTAAACAAATTGAATTTTCTCTGCTGCTGTTGCAAATTGTTCATTGTCTATTTGTCTTAACTAGAAATGTGCACCCTAACGAACCTGAATGTGCACCGTTTTAGATCAATATTATATATTGCTCCTCGGAGTGAGATTCAATCGAATTAATCAACCCCACCTTTAATTTATTACATGAACATACAACTGATGCAGCTTCTTTATTTAAATAAGAAAGGCTCAGGATTTCTTTGTTTAAAGAGAGGATGAATGAATATGATGTTTTTGATCCATAACTATAGAATTACTATTATCATCATAAGTTTTATATGCATGTTTTCGTTTTTAAGGATTCATAAGCTACTCTTTCACATGCATGCAGCCCTCATTTCATACACTCACTTAATGATACATTGTAGGAAGGAAAAAATGTGAAGGGGAGGATGAAGAACACTATTCCCGGGGGTTACTCTCCCTGCTATTCGCCTTATGCACAGGCTTACTTCAACAGGATTGATGTTCAAAAGGCATTCCACGTGAATATCAGAAAACGACCAGTCAACTGGAATACATGCAGGCTAGTTCCATAAAATGATTCAAATGAATCCAATCATTTGAATCAATCATGTTTAATTCACAATCTTATATTACACTGCATTTATTTATGTTTACTTAATATTTGTATCCCCCGTTTCTCTTCAGCGATCCAGTATTTAATGGATACAACTACACTGACTTCTCCCTACTGCCCGTTTATAAAAAGCTAATCAAAAGTGGACTCAGAATTTGGATCTACAGGTAAGACGTATACACAGTATCTTTTGGAGTATTTATGAATGGAAAATACTTACTCTGTTTTATTTTGAATGAATAGCCTACGGGCTATAATGAGATGACATATGGAACTGAAAAGTTCCAAAAAAACATAACAATTCACTAACACCGTAGAGATGCAGTCTCTATCAATCTAGAAGCTCATGGTACAAACCAATAATCAAGACCAGAAAAGTTTTAAAACTACTATGTGATAGGAACAAACATATGAATTGATTTCACCATCTTCCAACAAGGAATACCTGAAAATATGGTCTCTCCGATCCCCGGTTTGACCTACACTGAAAAGAAAATTCAATTGAACGCTATCTTTCTCTCATAGCATGGTGATGCTTTAGGAGAAATGCAAATAACTAAGGTCTTGGAGTCGCTGATACTTGAATTTCGAAGTTAACCTCCAAAAAACACGACAACCATTGCCAATCACCAATAATAAAATCTCACCACCCGATCAGTTCCATCGACAGGGAATATACAAACCCTAGACGTCGATAAGGAGGCAACGCATAAAATAACTTGAAAATACCAGCTAAGGAGATCTTTTTTCATATTAGGAAAAGAAAAAATTGAGGAAGAAAAGAGAGAAGAAACAACTAGGGTTTTCCCTTTCGCCGCTCCCCCATTCAAGAAGCCTATTTTTTAATCTTTATGAGACATCTATAAATATAAAAGTCATACCCTTCCTGTCCTAATCATTTCGAGTTGGTCTCGTAACTTTAGGTTTTGTCCATTGTTTGTCTTGAAACTTTACTAACTTGTAAATTTGACCGTGTAACTAATTAATACATCGTGCATATTTGCAATTAAGGACCCCCTCCTCGAAAAGACGGCCCGGACACCAGGTGACAATGATAGTAATTATCATGGCGAATGTAATTTTAAATCATAGAGAATGAAAAAGGTTTTTTGTCTCATTATTTTTGTGCGATCATGTTAATTTTTATAGTCATATAACTCATATTAAGGAAAACAAACCATATTTAGTTAGTCTTTTAGATTTCCCCCACTTTTACATACAAAATAAACGGAGCCTGCAACCTAAAGAATCAAATAACTGGATCAATTTTAATGCCTTTTTAAAACAAAATTTACCATATATTTGTTTATTACCGAGTACACAACTATGAGATAAATCCCACGACTTAAACATGCTTGATGTTTAATTTGTCCTTGAAAAAAAGTGGGGATGCTGATGGAAGAGTACCAGTTATTGGGACAAGATATTGGATAGAAGCTCTAAATAAGCACTCTTCTCATAAACCCCAATGGCGCTCTTGGTTCCACAATCAGCAGGCAAGCTTTCCAACAAATTGAGCCTTTTGTGTTTGACAACTCCAAAGCTGCTTATTGAGGTAATTAGAAACATGGTGCAGGTAGGAGGAAGGATAGTTGAGTACAAAGGAATCACGCTTGTGACGGTGAGGGGGGCAGGTCATCTCGTGCCTCTCGATAAGCCAAGTGAGGCTCTGGCGCTTATACATTCTTTCTTATATGGTGATGAACTACCTTCAAAGAGATGATGATGATGAAGACACTTAGATCATAATCTGCAAGCTAGCTAGCTCTTACATACATGTAGTGTACTATTTAGTACCTATTTGATACTTATATTTCGATGTTGAAATATCTACTTATAATATCAATAATAAGAACAAGGTATCTATTTATATTCACAAGCTCACACTCATCTGTAATAAATGAATGTTTTACTTATTTTATTGGGGTACCACAATACAATATGTATTGTATAGTTGATATTGTTTCTTTATTTTACAAAATTCATATTACGCTCAAATTATGGGTTCTATGGACCCACAACCTCCGACTCCATTGGTGACGACCGACAAGTGTGCCCTTGACTATCATGCAAGCTCATTCTGAACCACCAAACCAAGCCTTTGAACGACTGAACTTGTCAGAGGTTATTGATCCTGTTGGAAAAATAGTCAATACTCTGTATTTCCCAGTGGGCATGGACCCGGTGTCCCGGTCTCGATCCCAATTCGGTCCCAGTTCCTATTTGGTGAAGCCCGGAAATTCCTACACCTCTTTGAGAGAAGCAACTTTTGGACACTTTAAATATATCAATCATTTTAAATTGTAAGTATTTCACAATTGTCTAATCTAATATTAGATAATTGACCACTTTATGCCTACCATTTTCTTGGGGAACCCATTTTTATGTCTACCTCTATATGTACCTCTAAATGTAGAGCATATCCCTAGACACATCTTAATACACGTAATTAGACAGATTCTAAAACGACACATAACATCTGAGAATTACAAATACAATAGATTGATTGTGTTGCTGCTATCAGACACTACTTTTTTGTGTATTAAGCCAGAAATAAAATATCAAGTATTTTTAAAATAAGAAAATGATACGAAAAACTAAGATTGAAGTTTTGTAATCACATTAGTTTTTTGCAAAGGGAGATTGACAAAATGTCAGAAAGGGACTAAAACGATAAACAATATAAGTTATAACTATGAAAAACAAAAAATCACATGAACGGATGAACCTGAAACAAAAGGCAATGTGTTTGCCTTTTAAAAGCATTTTAAGCCAATAAGAGTAATAACATTACCCTGTCAATAAAGTCCACCGGAAAGCTAATAATTATGATTACGTGGGAAAATATTAACCAGCAAACAAAACATTATAAAATTACATAAATGACACATTACCAGTGCTAATAAGGGGTGATGTGGCATCAACCAGACAGGATTGGGCCTGGCAATTCTCATTTGGGTTATTGATGATGAAGCAAAATAAATGATTACTCATGTAACAGAACTACAGACCATTGTTTTGTAGTATACATCCATTCTAATGGGTCCTGCAATTCCAGAACAATTTCTGAAAAGAAGTTATCACTTTGCTCAAATTGAGTAAACAAGCATGTTTTCCCTACACAGTTAAAAATGGGAACGAACAAGGACTGCAAGAAAAGCTGCCAAACTGGAGGCAGCATAGAATGATAATCCAGATTATTCAACCAGAAAAGTTGAGCTTCTTCATCACTTTTGCGTAAGCCAAAGGGACCGTACCAGGTTTCCTCAGCCTACGTTTAGCACTCTTGGACTGCAAGAAGATGCACTACTTTGTTAAACAATCTTAAAGAGTGAGTTTAGTTACATTTTCAAGTCATACAGTATAACTCAAGCAGAAATGAGATGGACACTGCTTATGAACCTAAAATTGGGGGAATGTGTTGGCAATGCTATTATACTATATGAAATTTCCCAAAGTATGTTACTTAAGTAACAACGATTCCTTCCAAAACTGTTCATTCAGAACCTTTGAAACAAAAAAAAACAGCCATACTTTATTAAGGTTAGCCTCTATTTCACTGTTTGTAAATATAGAAACATAGAACCCTTCTCACCATTATTGCTCTGCTCTCTTATATGGTCTTGGACATAGTATCTATTTTTGGTTAACAGCTAACAATGAAGAATAAAGCAAAAGACTCAATTTTTTTGGCTTGAGAATATGATGGAATAAAGCAAAATGACTCTGCGCTTCTTTATTATAAAGCAACAGTCAGTTCATGCAATTTTGGACGCTATTTTCACTATGGGTCATCCGGAAACAGAGTCTTTGTGCTTTAGTACAGGGGTGGGAGCCTTTGCGGCACTAGGGTAATGATATTGATTATGATAATGATGAGCTAACAATGGAGAATCATTTGACAACAGATTTCAGGTGACCTTTGGAAAACCATGGAAACATAAAATCAAGAGAATCCACCTATAAGGTTATGGCTTCATCTCATGTACTTCCATCTTTTAATGTACTTTTCTCCCTTCTAAACCAGTTCTTTGCACTTTTTCTCTCGTCCCTCAATTTGCGAGAAAGAAAAAACAGTTCACACTCTTTCAGCTCAGGGAACTTGTGACCAGATGTTTGTGGTGGGGGCAGCTGCCTAACTAAGTGATGCCTCCCTTGTGCCTTTAAAAAAGTGCATTTTAATGGTATATGGTTCCGTGGCACTGCCACTGGGAAGACAGGCAGATTAAGATATTATTTTAGTCCTTCAGGGCAATTTGCAGTGGTGAGTTTGATACGCTTATTAGTGCAATTCTACGTGTCTCCCATTAAGGTTTCATTTTATGAAAATGTCTCCACAAACTTTATGACTTGCTATATCAACTTATGTTTTTTGCTTGTTTCATGTGTTTTTACTTTTTACTTATCAAAATATATATTATGTATATCTCATTTTCATAGTAAGATGGAGTACGATATTCATGATTTGAAAATAGGTACTTCCGATTGACAATTCTAATCTCAATTTGCTAACCATGTTTCATTGTGAGCTATCAGTTGACTTCATTACTGGTGTACTCTTCTAACTATCAAAACCAATGTTTCAAAAGGCGCTAGGCAGGCGGATGCCTAGAAACCTAATTGCCTTCTACTCAAACATCCAATGTTCTATTCCTATTAAAAAACTATTTTGTTTTCAATATTACACAAGGAGAGCCGTTCTGGATGCCTAGAAGCCTAATTGGCTGGTTGATTTTTCTTACTGGCCAGCCAAAACCGGGGTGCCTATCCCGATTTTTTAGCAGCATCACAAGCTAAGAGACATAGCTCAAGGAAGTATATGTCTTACATTTTTAGGCTCTCCTTGCACCAATCTTACCACCTCCTACTCCAACCACCCCGAAAAAACGTAGTTAATGTCATAACTTCTCGATGTTGAATTCACTTTTCGTTCAACCTTATTCTTTTTTGTACGCACAGCAATGTAGCACCTTTAAGAACTGCTATTGCTCCCTATCATTCGATTCTATTGTTCGATGGGATCTAAACAAGATATGCCCAGCAAACCTCTCTTAGCAACCAGATATTAGACGCTACCTAATACACCTAAAATCTTGAAGCACCTAATGACGATGCACTCCAACATGCCAAAAGGAAAAAATGGAATCTCAAACCTGCATTAACCATGGATTATGCAAATAATAAGGCAATGCAGATAAAGTACTACTATTCTACTGAACCCATGGCAACAGTCCCATTGAGATTATTTTCCCTTTCGAAGAACTACATATTGGCATCAGATAAGAGCAAATCATCAGACTATCTCATTATGAAAGTACAGCAGGGAGGTTGATAGATGTAGGGTTGTGCCACTGTGTCACTGTTCCCAGCATTAGCCATACTACCTAGACATCTAGTTACACTCACAAATGAATGCTCAAAGGTTTACAATTGAGCAAACCATGAGCTGATATTTCAGGTAGCTTGACCTAAACAACTAATTCTAACCTTTCCCCAAAGCAACATTTCTCAATCTCAAATTTCTAAAACGTTTAGACCATTACCAGATTTATCACTAGAATAAATCAATTTAAGATTACATCTAGTAACTAAATATTCACATGATACTAACTATTACTTCTAAAATCTACGTATGATGAGAGTACAGTTAAAAGGACAGCCACACAAATCACCTTACTTCTTTAAAAAGTAAATCACATGAATATAACAATTTTCACATTAGATCATGTTTCCAAATATCAGTACTAACATCACCAATATAAATATCATAGTCATACCTTTGAATGGGCATTATGCAGTTTCCCTTCTTTCCAACGCCTTATTTGACCATCTTTCATCACTCTAAACCTGCGTTTAAAAGACCTAATGCAACAAATTGAAAACAAATTAGTTGCCAACACTGTATGCATATGTGTGGGTGTCTATACATGTATACAATGCAAACACATTTGAAGCATTTGAAAAGACTTATACATACGAATAGCCCTTGATTTTTATTTTCTTCACTTTAGATACGACTGGAGTCATTGGTTTCCTACTCTTCAACTTCCTTTTCCTTTGTTTTGCAGTAATATGCCTCACTTGCATGAACTGAGAAAATGATAGGCATAAAAACATATAAATCACCATCACTAAAATCCTAAAACCAATTCCGTAAAAGTTCAGTCTGGAAATCAAATAGCAGATCAATACGCCCCTTGCTGTATTGTACACTTCCTTGCTCAGGGTTATAGACAGCCTTTTATATTATTGTATTCAGATGATTACAAAATAATCCCAGTACATTGAGTAGCTGCAACAGAACTATTGCGTAGAAAAATAAGCCCCCATCAAGCCGCATAAACATTCATGACGTATAGTTGCATTTCAAGCTATGGACTTAAAGATTGAGAAGTGAACACCCTAAGGAATCAAAACGTCCCATTTAGCAATTACAGAACAAGAAACTGATAGAGCCAACAAATGCACATCTTCATAGGTGAAATCATACAAATACAAGAAATCAAATTAGGCGATAGAAAATTGTAACTTACGGATGCAGGGTGGTGAGAAGAGTGAGCAAAGAGTGGAGGTGGAGGAGCTGAAATGGAGCCATAGGGAATATGCTTAAAGTTGGAAGGAAGTACGGAATAAAAAATGGATTTTTGAAAGAGGTGAGGAGAAGAGTGAAGAGGAGGGTGCGGTAAAACATAGGGGTTTTGATGGGTTGAATGCAGAGCGGCTAAGGATCGGAGCTTGGAACACCATCTTTGCATCTTCTCCCAAATGTTCCAAATACTACTGTCTCTGGAGATTGGCGTGGCTGAGGAAAGGAGAGATGAGAGTCATCTGTACTTTCAAAATTTTAATCCCTAGCTGACAGGCGTTGTTAATTTAGAAAGATTTTTACAAATCTAGCGTAAGGGAGTGTTTGCAACTGCTTCTGCTTAAAAAAAAGCACTTTTGGAGATGTAAGGAAAAAGTGATTAGTAGTAAAAGTTGATAGTGTTTGAGAAAAAAGTGATTTTGAAAAGTAAAAGTTGGTAGTGTTTGGTAAAATAAGTGCTTTTGTGTAATAGAAAAGGTAAAAACACTTTTCACACGCAAGCCGAGAAAAAGTAAAAATTGGTAGTGTTTGGTAAATAAGTGCTTTTTAAAGCCAAAAGCTAAGAAGTGCTTTTTTTTAAGCAGTTGCAAACACTCTCTAAACCTTGGTAAATAATCAAAACTTTGGTAGACTTTGGTATAAAGAATAGTACCAATGCATTAAAAAAATTCAATTGCTAACTCAATTGATAGATGGGAATGTTGGAGGAATGACTAAACATCAAAACTTAAGGTGGGCCTTTGGATTACAACTCTTATCTTCTGTATATTGAGTTGGACTTTTGGTGTGCATGAGTATAAAGTCTATTACTATCAAGCTGACTCAGTCGTCGTGATTTACAATCTTCCATATGTCTTATCAGGTCGGGGCGTAAGGCCTTGAAATTAAGGATTCAACCTTATGGAGGAATGCAATAGAAAATAAGAGTAATCACAAATTCAATTATGAGGTGTGTCTTGTAATTGCAATAGAAATTCATTAGAATAGTTGCATAACACCATAATCAAATAAATCATTATGGAGTATTTATTGATTCTCTAATATAATATTACATATTGTTGAGGTTAATTCGTGTAGATCCAAAGGCCCAACACATCCCTTTGAATATTCTTTAATGTGCTTACGAAGGAAAGGAAAATGGGGAAAATAGTCCACAACAAGGATGATCCAATAGCCCAGCTGTATTAGAGTAATTATGCAATTACAAAGAAAGGTAGGACGGGAGTTACGGACCAGTTGCTTATACAAGAGTTAGAGTGAGCTATTACTAAGTGAGTATCAAAATACTAACCTTTTAAGTTTTACGATGGAAGAAGTGCAGCTATTTATACTAGAAGTGGGTATGTGAGATGTATGACGTGGCCACCCCTGGGTGGATGACCTATTTGCCACCTGAGCACCCATACCTCCACTTGGGCACCCATACTCCAGCATTAAATGCACCTCCAGCCACTTGTGAGGCTTCCTGGTCAGCTCCTTTGGGCTGATCAGCCTGATCTTACGTGAAAGGTGCTCTTCATTACCAAGTATAAAATCCAGCCCGTTCGAGAATAGCCGAACGGGACATGATTAGTTGGGAAGGACCGTTCGGGCGTTCCTTGCGTCTGGTGTTTGGGGGCTTGATATTTCTTTGGGCCTTAGGGGTTTTTTGGGCCGAATTACTGAGCCGGACCCCAATATCCCAACACATATATATAATTTATATAAAGCCAAACAAATAATAAATAATTCAAAAAGTTTCAATGTCAAGTGGTCATTGATGTCCTCATTTTTTAACTTGTGAATTTTTTTAACTTAACTTTGTGCGTTTAAAAATGAAAATGCATAAAATTTCTCGATGGATAATTGTTAGTCATACCATATTATTTATGAGAGATTGAGCTAATGGAGAGAGATGTATAGTAAAAACGTGTATGAATAAGAGTTCAAGTTACAAGATTTCCAAAGAAAGTAATATACAGAAAGAGCGGGTTGGACAGCTAAATGCCTAAATCAAACCAAACAGATTCAAAAGAGGTTTTCATTCTCTAACTTGTGTTACGTATACACTATATTCATCAAAGCAATTAAGTACAAAAAACCAAACAGATCTTCAATACGTAGTATATCACTAATCTAGCGTATGTAAAAAAAACTACGTACAATTAAGTACGCATATATTAACGGTCGAAGACAAATTTATAAAAAAAATAAATAAATTTAACTTTAAATAAGAGAGCCAAAACCTTTATAAAGTTGTAAGATTGAGCCCATAAGCCCATGTATTAAAGTAAGTTTGGCTGACGTGACAAGTTTGAAATGGAAAAAACACTGAAATTGTTGTTAGAATGGATAGAGTTGATAACCTTTTTTGAATTGAATTATAAAAACCAATTATAATAAAAGAAAGAAAATGCTATGTAATTAAACATAAAAGTAAAAATGTAATTCCTAAAATAAATATTCTCTAATGTTTTACATTGCATTTTTCTTTCTAGGAGTCAACCGTGTACGTAGTAAAAAAATCATGTATTTATTGTTTGATGGTCAATTCTGTGTTGGTTGAACGTGGAGGGTCTTATCTGGCCTTGCTTATTGATATGGACTCAGTTCTTTAGGACGTTTTCTTTGTTTTCAGTCTCAGACCAGATCAGATCAGACCAGACTTAAACAGACCAGACCAGACTTAAACAGACCAGACCAGACTTGGATAGTTATAAAATACACAGAGACCAGACGTTTACCAGACCAGACCAGATCAGACCAGACCAGACCAGACCAGCAAATTTCAGTCCAAAAGAAAACATCCTTAGTCTCGCAATACAATTTTATTGACAGTTTGAGTCGTTTGACACCACATAGAATGAGGGATCGTTTGTTTTTCGCTCATAGTCCAACCACTAGCGGAGCCAGCAGAAAACGACTATGGGTCAAAACTTTACCAAGTATAGAATAAAAATAGTTTTGTATCATATCTATGTTTAATTTTTCATACATTTTTTTACATAATGATAGTTTAAATGAGACTAATACATTAATAATTTGATATATATGTCATATAAATTATAGGATGCACTTAAGAAAAGAGTAAATTAAGCGTTATTTTAAAATTTTCAGATTCTAATCATTATTAAACATTCAATTTTACTTATTTCATTTTTAGATTTTTTTTTTCTGGAAAAAGCTAGGTACGATATTCAATTACAAAGCATAAAATAGCACCCGTTGAATACATATAACTGCATCATAATAATCCAGAAATGCTATAAATATATATGCTCTTTATTAGACTATTAGACTTATTAGTTTTGTAATATGAAATCATGATATCGCATTATCGTCTAAACGCCATAGTAAAAGTTTTTATAGTCATAAGAAAAAGTACGAATATTCAACAACATTTCAAAACCTGCGACATTTGTCTTCGTCATCATCACCCCAACTAACTTCGCGTGGCAAATCTAAACTTCCAATGTAGAAACAAATACGAGCACTCATGTGATGATCATCAACACATTCTCGTTCTAGTGTGTCTTCTTCAACATCATAAACATAAGTTCTCCCACAACAACGAGATATCACCATTACCTTATTCCCATTTTGAGATAGTACATAGTAGTTATTTTCAAGAGTTATACTACTTCCGTCCTCCTAAGTTTGTGACAAAGGGGTGTGATGTGGTTTTTAAGAAAAAGTAGAATTGTGTGGTTGGTATTGAATTGATAAAGTGTGAATAAAGTAAGAATGAATTCTGGAAAAAACTATTGTTACACATTTTTTGTGCACACACTTACACACTCGTGTCTGTAACGTGTTTTTTTGTCTGTATACAGACAAAACATATTTGAAGTGTCTGTGAAATAAGTTGTGTCTGTATATAGACAAAACAAAACATTCCACAGACACGAGTGTGTAAGTGTGTGTACAAAAATGTGTACCTCAAGCCTGGTTGATGAATTCTAACCACTCAAATATTACCAAATATGGTATGAGACAAACTTAGTGAGACGGGCGAAAAAGGTAAAACGGGACAAACTAAGGAGGCGGAAGGAGTAACTTTTTACTCGTAATGAGTTACGAGAGTTATTACTCCCTCCGTCCCAGGGGCGGAGCCAGCACATCAAAGAAGGTTGGGCCGTATCCAGGAAGAGTGCTCTAACAAATTAAACTTAATTGACTTTTATATGATTGAAGTTTTAGTTGGTAAGGACGATATTAAACATAGTCGTCTCACTTCATTCCTTTTAATTTGTGGAAAGGTCGATTGGATATTTTTTTATTTTCCTCGTCTCTTTGAATCTCAACTAGATTAAAAGATGAAAGATTTTCAACATTAGAAATATTTTGATCAGCTTGGTGCTCGTTGGTACCTTCTGTTTGTACACTACTAGCGGCAGTAGTCGATGTAAAGAAAGAATGTGAAATTTCTTTGAATGAGGCTGTTATGTGCCTATATTCTCTTCTGTCAAATCGAAATATTTTACAAAAATCATTACACATTATTGAATCACTCTACATAATTGCACTACTTTGGGGAATTCATTTTCCCGCTCAAGATTCGAATGCATCTCATCCGCACGATCAAAACAAGATCTACGGCTTTCGACTTTTCGAGTAGTTCATTCCTTCTCATTCCAGGTCACCAGTCCACACCATCATCTTCATCATCGTCTTCTGCGTAGCGGAATTCATATCAGTCGCCAACCTTTCTAAACTTCATCTTCATCCTCTTCATTGATCAACAACTCTAATTCTTCTCCGCTCATCAGAATCAATCCGAGTTCAAAAGCACGGAAGCAACTCCTCTCTCCATTTGGGTTTTAAAATTGAGGTTTCGATTCCGGTTTTAGTTTTCCTTGAATCTACTAATATCAGTTCTTGATTAACATTTTTTCCATGTTTTCGATCTTCTGAATTTTTCTTTGTCTAAATTCGTTTTTGGTTGCTTGGTTTTCAAAAATGCCTCAACGGTTGCAATTCAGGGCTGAGATGTCGATCGAAGGCCCCGTTCACTACTCTTTCATACAATTGTATTACATTCCTGGACAATCGATTGGTGAAATAAGGTATTGTTTGTTCTTGCTGCTTCAAATTCTATTCAAGCTTCTTATTTATTTTTGTTCTTTGTTTCCTGTTGATATGAACATTCATGGGGTGTAGTTTGATCTATTTAAAAATCAGTTGCATATTTCTATATATTGGCATTTAGTACTAAATATGTTCATTGTATTTCAGCCGCTGAATTTTCAGAAGTTACATTGAGGCATTTTTTGAGATTTTT